GTCTGGGACGCAAACTGCGGTCGACTACGTGGGAATACAGTGACATAGCCATTACACTAACTGCTGGTTCCCAAAAAAGCATTTTATAAAATACAACATTCCTTCATGATTAAGTCTCTCAGCCTAATAGGTATAGATGGACATTTTTCAACACAATACAAGCCATATATGACAAACCCACTTCTAACATCATACTGAATGTGGAAAAGTTAGAAGTTTTCTCACTACAAACTATAACAAGAAAAGGGTATCTACTTTCTTCACTCCTTTTCAACATAGTGTTGGAAGTCCTAGCCAATGCAATCAGACAAGAGAGTAAAATATTGGGTTGTCAGAAAAGTCATGACTCGGGAACCAGCAGTTAGCGTAATGGCTATGTGGCTGGACTCCCACATAGTCGACCGCGGTTCGCGTCCCGGACCCGGTGGCTTAAAAACTCACGTGGGGCGCGTGTGCGTGCGTGCCCAAGATCCCGAGAGGAGAATGGAGGAGAAGGGATTGCGGTGTGACCATCCCCCCTAGGGGGTGATTTCTCGCTTTCTGTCTCTATGTCTCTCTCTGTCTGTCTGGCGAGCGCACGCGTCCTATAGTGAAAACGTCTCAAAAAAAAAAAAAGTCATGACTCATTTTTTCATTGAAAAAGAAAAATATGTCATGACTTTTCTGACAACCTAATAAAAAGCATTTGAATAGGAAAAGAAGAAGATAAATCATCCTTACATAATTACATACACAGAAAATTCAAAGGAACCCATGAAAAGAAATTCCTAGAATTGATAAATTCAGTAAGTGGCAGGATACAAAATAAATATACAAAAATATATGACATTTTTATACACCAACAATTTATAGGCTGAGGCAGAATTGAAGAAAGCAGTACCATTTACTATAGACACACACATACAAAAGAATAGCTAAGAATAAACCTAACCAAAGAATCAATATAATCAAAATGTCAATTCTTTGCAAATTAATTTGAGAATTTAATGCAATTTCAATCAAATTACCAAGAATATTCTTCACAGAAATAGAAAAAAGATCATAATATTTGTCTGGAATCATAAAAGGCCCCATATTATCAAAGTGATACTGTGTAAAAAAGAATAGAGTAGGAGGCATCTATCTCACTGATTGATCTCAAAATATACTAAAGCTGTGATCATCAAAACAGAATGGTTTTGGGACCAGCAGTTAGCGTAATGGCTATGTCGCTGGACTCCCACGTAGTCGACCGCGGTTCGAGTCCCAGACTTGGTGGCTTAAACTCACGCCGGGTGCGTGTGCGTGCGTGCCCAAGATCCTGAGAGGAGAATGGAGGAGAAAGGATTGCAGCGTGGCCATCCCCCCGGGGGATGATTTCCTGCTTTTTATCTCTCTGTCTCTCTCTGTCTGTCTGGCGAGTGCATGCGCCCTATAGCAAAAGAAAAAAAAAAAAAACAGAATAGTTTTGTCACAAAAACGGACACAAAGACTGATGGAGCAGAATAGAGAATCCAGAAATAAGCCCTGAAATTTAGAGCCAACTGGTCTTTGACATATGTTACAAGACAATGCAACGGAGAGAAGAGTCTTTTCAGGAAATGATACTAAAACTGGCTATCTACCTACAGAAAAATCAAGCTGGACCTCTAACTCTCACCATTAACAAAAATAAATTCAAAATGGATCAAATATCTAAATGCAAAGCCTCAAACTATAAAACTACAGGTGAAAAACACAGAAGAAACAATTGAAGACATTAGAGTAGGTAAAGATTTCTCAAATAAGACCCATAAAGCCCAGGTAATAATCCAAAAATAGATGAGTGGTTTTACATCAAGCTAAAATGCTTCTGCACAGTGAAGGAAACAGCAATCAGGATAAAGAATGACCCTCAGAATAGGAGAAAATATTTTAAAACTATCCTTCAGATATGCATTCTGATATCTAGAATGCATAGGGAACACAGCAGCTCACCTGCAAAATAAATAAATTAAGTAATCCAATTAAAAAGGGGCAAAGGAGCTGAATAGACAACTTTTTAAGGAAGACATACAAACAGCCAAAAAATATTTTTAAAAAATGTTTAACAACTCTTATCATAAGGGAAATGCAAATCAAAACCATAATAAGATACAACTTAACCCCAGTCAAAGTGGCCATGATCAACAAAATAAAGAACAAGTGTTGGGAAGGGTGTGGTGAAAAGAACCCTTCTACACTCCTGATGGGAATGTAAATTAATACAACCACTGTGAAAAACAATATGGAGATTCCTCAAAAGCTGACAAATAGAACTACCACATGACCCAGTACTCCCACTCCTTGGTATTAATATTTACCCAAAGGATAGAAAAACATTCAGTTGGAAATACATTTGCAAATCCATGTTTACTGCAGCATTACCCATAATTGTTAAGACATGGAATGAGCCTAAGTGGCTAAGAACTGATTACTAGATTGAGAAAATGTGGCACATATACACTGTGGAATACTATTCAGCCATAATGAACAATGAAATCCTGTCATTTGATACAAAGTACATGAATATAGAGTATTTAATGCTAAGTGAAGCCAGATTATAAAAGACAAGCACTGTATATCCCCTCAATATACACCCAAAATCTGCACTCTATGGCAGAAATAGAAAGATCCAAAGATATAATAGCAGGGAGGACAAGTGTAGGAATCAGGGAACAAATACTTAACAGACATAAGAATGTAAAGTTCTCACTGGAAAATTATGTATATAGTAATATCCTTGATCTGGCTGTCACATACTGCACACACCCTTTAAAAAGCCATATTGTATGCCTTACAATGACTGAATGTAAAGAACTCATAAGAACTCATAAAATAAAAAATTTTTAAATACAAAACAAATCCCTGTATCCACCAACATAAACTATGCACATCTCTCTGTATACACATGTGAGTATTGATATGTGAAATACTGTTGAATATATGACTGATTATTTAATTGCAAACTTCACTGATGTGGATGTACCTTTTTTGATTCATTAATGTAGTAGAGTCTCACAAGCTAAAATTTATGAGTTTATAAAGTAAGCATGGTTAGCTTGGCATTACACCCAAAACACAAGTTATCATGACATAATGCACAAGTTATATTGGTACAACTTGAATGGGAAAACCATCTTAATTATTAGGGCATGATCACTTTCAATGCATATTTTCAAAAGAAAACAATCATGGGGATGCTCTATAATAACTAATTGGGCAGTTTCCATCTGCCAACATAAAATTGCATTTCAAATTTCAATAAAAAGTATACTGCAAAACAATTTGCTTCAAAATCTCATCCTAGAGAGATAAGGAATATATAAAAAGGACACTAGAAAATAAGATGAATCCTAAACTCAGTTAATCTGGAAAAATATGAGTAGTGCAGAAGCAGAAAAACAAAAAAGAGCAGAGGCAGAGAAAAATAGTTAAATATTGCTACATGTTTGTTCATTTAATGTTTTATTCATTCAAGTAATATTTATTGATACCCAATAGTGCTATGAACTGTTCTTCATGGGAATAACAAAGTGAAAGGAACAAGTCAAAAAATTATTCTCCTTTTATGGAACCTGTAGTCTAGTAGAAAAATCAGACTGCAAACAGTAAACCAATAATCAAATGTGGTGCTATTTCAAAAGAGGTAGAAACACAGCATGTGGTAGGTGTCTAAGTATTTTTTATATATATTCAGCTAATGTACTTAGCCAAGATGCTTTTTTAAAATGGGTTCACTCCTGCTGATTGCTTTATTACTCATATGCCACTATGGTTTACAGATATTGAGGATTAAATGAAATAATGTGTGAAAAGGACAAGGCACATAGTAAATTGTAATTAGTTTTGTCTGACTAAAAATCCATAACCAATCTATATTCGATAAATTATTTGTTCTAATAGTTATAGTCAAAAATTAATTTTATAATTAAAACATCATACATATAAATGTTTTTTGCTATATTTCCATTCTTGGTAATCAATAAGTAAAAAGTCACAAAATGACTATTTCTGAGTAGCATTATGTTTCCCTCAAAAATATATAGTAAGAGAAAAGTATTTATTTTAAAATAACAGCTCTGAATTATCAAATGTAAGTACAGATGTTGAGCATCTCAAAAAAGCAACATTTTTTCCCCATTGATCTGTTTATTTATAGGTTTTTGCCATAGGGCGCAGGGCCATGCTAGAGAGACACATAAAAAGACAGAGAGAAGGAAAGTAAGAGATCACACCTGGGAGAATGGTCATTATCCTCTCAGGATTTGGGGCATGTACGCACATATGCCTAGTGTGATTCACAAGCTGCTGGGTCTAGGACTTAAACTGTGGTTGGCCATGTGAGAGTCCAGTACCCCAACCACCACACCACTTGCTGCCCCTCCTAATAGCAGCATTTTATCTTTAATAACTAAGTTCTAAACTTCAGGTAGATACCTTGACTATTAAAGTCAGCAATTTCTTTAATTTCCAATAAATTTCTGCAGAAGAACATTCTATGAATACTGAAAGATGTATTACCATGAAAAGTAAAATTATTTCAGACATGATAAAAAGAACCATCTAGGTGAGGTAAATAATTTGGGACAGCCCAACTTCATCCATACACAATTCTTATTATCCTTAGTGGCAGAGATAACTCAATGAATGTAATTCTGGACACAGTCAGAATTCAACTCAGCTCACTCTCTACCATTTTCTTAAATTTATATTAGTATTTTTATAGTTTGAGTGCCCCATATTTCAGATCCATATTAGTTTGGCATACAATTAATTTTAGGAACACTACCATCTTCAATCTTTTCTGTTTATTAAGTGACACAGTAGAAAACTTGGTGTAAACACAGACTTTTCAAACAAATTACCATTATTGAAAACACTGGAAATGATCTCCCATTATATTAATTGGGCTGAATTAGTGATGCTCTCTTTCTTTTTGTCCATTTTGGTTTTGTGAAAAAAATGGTCTTTAAACACCTACTCTTTTCCTTATCTAATAGACCTACAACTGAATCAATCCAAGAACAATATACCAAGAGCGCGGCTGAAGACCCTAAAGATGACAGTTGCATTTGCCACTTCATTTACTGTCTGCTGGACTCCCTACTATGTCCTAGGAATTTGGTACTGGTTTGATCCTGAAATGTTAGACAGGGTGTCAGAGCCAGTAAATCACTTCTTTTTCCTCTTCGCTTTTTTAAACCCATGCTTCGATCCACTTATATATGGATATTTCTCTCTGTAATTGATACACTTTGCAAGAAGCAAGTAAAGAAGAGCAAAGTAATGAATTTCTCCATCTGGGAATGATAGACATAAAGGTTGCAGCATATCAAGTAACAAACAAAGCAGATTTTAAGCTTAAGTTATCATCCTTATTATTGTAGAAACTATTGCACATTTTTAGAAACTCAATTATAAGGAAAAAATCTTTAGAAAAATACTGAAATATTTTCTATTTAACCACAAATTTCTGAATTCATCTCTGCCCTTTCTGATCTCCTATAACACATTATGTGGATTTCCTGTCATTTTCTTCTTGAATAATATATTTTACACATCTCTAGCATATGGCAAATAATGCTATAAAGTAAGGCTGAAAAACCACAACACAGTTCTAATCTCAGCATGTTTTGGATTGTTTTTGTCCAAAAGGAGCTTACTAGTAACTGCAATCTTACAACAATATGTAGAACACAGATAGTATGACCTTGCCCATAAGATGAGTTTTCCCTACTGTGGTTAATAAATAGAAGAAAGAAAGAAAAAAAAAAAAAAGAAAGAAATCCAATTTCTCTTTGGCTTCAAAAGGATTATGATGTTTCAAGTACTCAGTAACCAACCCTACCATACACTACACCAACCTGACAAGATTGATTATTTCTTCTTCATCCATCCTGTTTATATGGCACAGATTGTGAAATGCTTATATATAAAGGGTCTTTCAGGGGTTAGGGTTTGGATAGGGGTTTAGAACATTCTGGTAGACTGTACGGTCTGTGGTGTTTGTGGTGTTTAGTTACCATAATAACAATAATTTTTGAAATAAAATCAAGAGAAGACCTGTTCTGATTATATTATATGCATAATATTCCATCTCTGTTTTAAAAATATGAGAGATATCTTTCTATCACTTTTTAAATCCACAGGCACTGAGACAAATCAATATAAAAATCAAGAAAATGTACAAGCAAAAGATGTTTGATACATAAACGGAACTTCAGAGAGATAATTGTAGTTTCAGTCTATACAGGTCAAAGAAGATAGCAGAGAGTATTGAGAGAGGAAGCAAATGAAAAACTCTCTGTCAATGTGAATTTAACACCAACCATTGACATGAAATGGTATGGTTTCCCAAGTGTATCTGCACAGCAACACCTGTTTTAATTCAGGCTTGTATATACCCCTTCGATTAAAAATGGAAGGGGACAAAAATAATATGAGTATAATATCCATTTAGTGAAAAACAAAACAAAATATAATAAGGGAGTTAGAAGAAAGTTGGTTATTTAACATTTTTTAAATAGGTAAGACACCATTATATTCATCTAAGCTACAGTGCCACACAAGAGATAAGATGTAATTTCAAATATTTCAGTATGTGTGGGATTGTGTAAAGTAAACTGCTAACAGTAAGTCCTTTATTTTTCTCTCACATTTTCCCTTGTGTAGTGTTATTGTGGGCTTTATTTTCCTACACCCTACCTTATTTTCCAATTCTGTCTCCATTGAGCTCCTTTCTTCTACTCTTTCCAATCTTCTTTATTAAACTTGCACTTTTAATTGACCAGTTAAAATCCATGACCCAACTCTACAATTGAATTGGGCAAGTCTCAAAACTTATAGTATAGTGAGCTGAAATGCTCAAAGTTGGAAATGTATACTCACATCGATACATATAGTCATATAGTTCTATTAGATGACACAGGGATATAGATAAATCACAACAAAATCAATATTCTCCAAGTCTCTTTATCACATACTTATTCTTAGACTTATAAATACAGTAATTCTTACTTCCAGAATTAAAGGCAGAAATAACATATGTACACAGTAAAAATCTAAGGGCTTTATTATATATGTGTTTAATGAACATATCTTAGCTTTGTTCTTTTGTCCTCAAGAAACTGTTCTATTGGGTTGCCAGAAAAATCATAAAACATTCTTGTATTAAAAATAAGAAAATTCATCATGACTTTTCCAACAACCCAATATTTTGGTATTTTCTCAGTTTTTTTTTTTTTTTAATGTATGTACTAATGGGCTATTCCAAATCTTGATGCAGGGGTCTGTAACCTATGGTCCAAATACAAAATTGTAATTTCAGTGTAACATTTTTTTGTTTTAAAACTATTTGTATTACTTTAAGCATTTAAATACCTTATCTTGTAAGGGCTTTATAGTCTATCCCAGATTGCGAAAGTATCACATGGCATAAACAAGGTTAAGAATTCTTGCTTGATTTTTGTACATTTATAAGGAAGTTTATTATGATGGAAATGTATTTACTAGTTTATACACATGTATAATAATGCTAATATTTAAACTGGATTGCCTCAATATGCGTAATCATTCTTTTTAAACCGAGTCCTTTAAGTTTAATATATAATTAAAACTTTGAGAAAATAAGTATTTCATATGTATATTGTGGTCCATAAATTATAATGTGGATATGGATTTAAAGAAAAATTCATAATTCAAAAGGTAAACATGGCTTTTAAATGAAAGATACACCACTCAGCAGAGACTATTTCACATTTGATATTACAGTCATTTATTCTACTTACAATTTTAATAAAAGATGAGAATTCCTTGTGAAAAAGGAAATGTTTGGGAAAGTGAATTTAATATATTAGATAATTAAGATTCTTAGTTGTCTCTTCTTTTATTTAGCATATAAAAATAGTTAAAATTGGATTCTTTTTAGCAATTCAGTTTAGTAAGGTGACATAAGTTACTGACAATGAATTGAACAAAGATTACATCAATTCAACTTTAGCCTATTAAATGGAGTTACAGTAGCTTAAAAAATTCTCTAGGGGATGGGGTGGAACAAACATTATTTTCCAGGGAGCATAAATCAAATAAATGAGTCACAAATCTGCTTAGAGTAACCTTGTCTTAGAATTTATGTGATAGACATAAAGAGAAACTATTATTAGGCAGTGAAAATATTTTTAGAATTCCATCTCTTTTACTTGTGTGCTAATTTCAAATGTTGAACTAATGCCTTGAACTTTTCTGATTACTATAAATTGTATCCATATGAAGAAACAAGATAAAAGAATAAGGTAGTACAATTTAATCTTGTTTATCATTTTTATGATTATTAAGTTTAAAAATCAAGTCAAGGGTCAACTGCAGTAGTGCAGCAGTAGCGGAAATCTCTGCAGTAGAGGAGGACTGGGGTTCAGTTCCCAGATGGACCTGTACACATTGGCAGTGCACATGCCCATGTCCTTGATCCTGGCAGGCTGGCAAAGTCGAGGGGAGTTTTTAAGACCACTGAATCCCACAATGCCAACTTCACAGCTCGAATCCTGGATCCAGCAACTTGGTAAACATATGCATGTGCGTGCATGCCCAAAATCTCTACAAGGAGAAATGGAGAAGGGATTATGGTCTGACCATTTCCCTTGGAGGCAGTTTCTTACTTTCCTTCTCTTTCTATTTCTCCCCAGAGAATACACATGACCTCTGCCAAATTAAAAAAGAAAACCAACACATGTAGTATGCAAAATTGTAAGGAGAACCTATGGTCCTTACTAAATCATAGTCAAAAAGAAAGTTCTCTCCTTTCAGTAATATACTCAGCCATGTAGCATATACAATTATAAGCCCCCTACATTTTTTTCTTTTTTATTGGAAGCATACTCTTGCATCATCAGAAAAGTCATGATGTATTTTCTATGTTTTTCTATGCTATTTATCAGAATTCCTGTGCTTGTATCAAATTCCATGTGAAGATATCATTACTAAAAGAGAATTGTGAAACTAAAAGAAACCTGTTAAAAGCTATCAAAATACAAAATAATATCATAAAGCATTGTTATATAAAGATATAATCAAATACTGGGTCATCAAAAAAGTAATAACGTATTTTTGGGAACCAGCAGTTAGCATAATGGCTATGTCGCTGGACTCCCACGTAGTCGACCACGGTTCGTGTCCCGGACCCGGTGGCTTAAAACTCACGCCGGGCGCTTGTGCGTGTGTGCCCAAGATCCCGAGAGGAGAATGGAGGAGAAGGGATTGCGGCGTGACTATCCCCTCTGGGGCGTGATTTCTCGCTTTCTGTCTTTATGTGTCTCTCTGTCTGCCTGGCGAGCGCACACGCCCTATAGAGAAAACCTCTCCAAAAAACAAAAATAAAAATAAAAAAAGTAATAACATATTTTTGCAAGGAAAAATATGTCACGACTTTTTCAATGAGCCAATACTCTACCACCAAAATAATTTAGGGTGGGGCAAAAGTACTTTAAAGATATGTCAAGTAGTTAATGACATGAATTGTTACTTTTTTTGGATATTATGGTGTTTTTGATATTTGTCAGGTTTTAAATTCTTTTTGTAATTTGTTGTGGCTTCTTTTCTCATGTAAACAAAATACCTTCTATTATACCTAACTATAGCAAACTCTACAAATTAAAAAATCTTCAGGCTCCAGAAGACATGAATCCCTTATCTATTTATTTATTTATTTATTTATTTATTTACTTACTTACTTACTTACTTACTTATTTAAATTTGCCAGAAAGCATATGTGCTCTCTAGAGACAAAGAGAGACAGAAAAGGGAAAGAAAAATAGCACCTGCCAAAGGGGCATGCTCACATTGTAATCCCTTCTCCTCTATTTCTCTACTCTATTGGGATTTTGAGCATGCATGTACACATGTCCTGTGTATTTTTCTTTTTTTTTTTTTTTAAGAATTACTTCATTTAACTTTATTTATTTATTTGTTTATTTTAATTTGACCAGATAGGGGCAGAGTAAGAAAGAGAGAGTGAGCGAGAGAAAGTGAGAAAGCAAGCTGCCAGGTCCAGGTCTTAAAGTGTGGTCTGCCATGTGAGAGTCCAGAGCTTTTAACCACTACGCCACCTGCCAGCCCTATCCTGTGTGTTTTTCAAGCTGCTAGGTCTAGTATTGAAGCCACTGGGTTAGTCATGAGAGATCCAGCTACCTTAACCACTAGGCCAAAGGGCCAGCCCATAAATCCCTCTTACAGGAACTAAATCTGTGCATT